AAAATAAATCGACTATTCGAAAAAAAAGAAGAAGAAGAAGAAAAAGAAAAAGAAAAAAAGGCAAAAAACATTCAAATAGAAGTATAGTTTACTGAAGAAAGAACTTACTTATTTCCTTCATATGAATGATTTAATTTATTTATTAGGTTATTGTCGCTGTTATTTTTGTACTCATTYCGTCTGATTTTCATCGGAACTCATATTAATCGATGAAAATGAAATGAAATGTTGTTGACACAAATACCATCAAACAACACAAGAACCGCGAAGAACAATACCAAGCTGAGTTAATGAAACCTTATCGACTCAAAATGAAACCTTATCCACTCAAAATGAAACCTTATTGACTTTAGTTGATACAAAAAAACGTTATTYAAGGCTTTAGCGACAAAAGGATACGACCGGAAAGTCCACACGTGTCTCGGAAACCACAATTCAATTCGTGGCGCGGTTAGCTGTTTGGTAGCCACTTAATAGTCGCCGCGAGCTATTTTTCGCCGATTTTTCAAGTCAACGAATGCTATCTTCAAAACAAGACTATTTTTAGATGATGYTTCGTTTAATAGATTATGAACTAAGGTTACTTGGAATTCTTTTTTTCTCTCTTGAATTTGAAAGTAAGATTGGCAGCAACCTTGCAGTGCATAGGGGTGTGAAGGTAGAATTTTCGAACGCGGGATAGCGAATTTCTTTAATTATTTTGTCCTAAATTAATAGCTACAATCCTAGAAAAAGAATTTTAGTGTTATAATTACCTTTATTTCTCTCACTTTTTTCATTCATCTTTAACATCTTTTTATATTTCTGTGAAGAAAATGTTATTTACAATTAGTTTTGAAGCCTATTTGAGTAGAGTTTTTAAAGAGATTTCATCCAAGTGTGAGATTTCTGTGACACGATAATMGTGACGGTTTTGTGTCAAAGCATTTTGTAGTACCTTCGCACTGTGATTGGCTAAAAGGCCAAACTTTTGTGAAATGATCGTGACAGTACGCGCGTCAWCTCTGTATCATGATTGGATGAGAATTAGTCTTGGACACTGTGATTGGTTCCGTGGTTGTAATCGTCACAACTCCGATTCGTAACCCTGTCCTGTGCAGTAATTTTTACACCTACCTAAATCTCCTGCGGAACCGTTGTTAAAAAATTTTTTTTTCAATCTATTTCATTTATCTATATTGCGCACKTTGAAATGATTGTCTAAATGTGTTTTTATTGGTCTAACACCATCGAAAATACRACCAATCGGAAAGCAGGAAAGAAGTTTGTATTTGACGGTATCCGGTATAGTTTACTGTTTTTTTGTTTTGTTKTTGTTTTTGACTAAACGCCTGGGTATTTTTAGTGGTGTTCGTGAAATAAAATAGTTATACAATGCTTTCTATTGACAAACCATGGAAAATCCCAGTTGTCGCTATCCCACGAGTTCTATGTGAACTCACCAACTGCGTAATTGTAGGTACATAAAAAAAAACAAGTGTCTTGTGGGATATTCCATGGTATTTACTGGCAAGTCAATGGCATTCGAAACCATTGTATAATATGTATATACACAGTATCTATGTGTCTGTAAGTTAGTATGTGTATTTGTTGTGTAGATATATTTATGTATTTGTATATGATATCCTAGTCCAGAGCTGGACACACTTTTATCGATGCGCGCGCAGTATTTTCATTTGAGAGCAGTTTTCGTATGACTGTGAAAAGCTCACGGCACGAACACGGTCGTGGCACGGCGAGGCATACGCCAGACCAATCACATTGCACGAGAATTTACTCTCCATCCAATCAAATACCCAGAACACGGCATGAACACGGCGCGGACACGGTCACGCAAAGGTCACGGCACTGTCAGACCAATCACATTGCGCGAGAAAAAAATCAGCCACTTAAAATTCTAGAAAGGTATCACGGTCACGGCACGTCACGCTTACGGCACTGAGCTTTTTACAGTCATGCGAAAACTGCTATATTTCTGAGATATAAATTAATCAGTTAGTGAGAAAAGTGAGKCCGACTCKAGAATAATGAAAYCCGCATGATATATAGTGAAATACTTACTTCTACGTGAAGGGGRTTATTGACTATCGCAGTGTGACTGTAGTGTCTGTTAATATATCTCTCTTTTGAAGTACCTTAAAAACGAATAATATATAAATTACTGTTATCTCATTTTAGCAAATAAAGAAGGTTGTTTGGCGGCCTGCATTATTTTATCGGGGGTCGGGGGAGTGGGGGCATTTCCTCCTCGCTACAACAGCAGACCGATTTACAACGCAAGTTAACAAACAACTTGTTTTTCTTTGAAAATCTATTATTGTCAAAAATCGTAACTGAATAAATGTGTGTAAATCTGTAAAAATACTATGAATAAATTAAGGTAATCTTTGTTTTTGCTTTGATTTTTGTAAGAGGGTCAGTGAAGGGTGAGGCCCCTCCCCCCCCTCTCCTCCCGCCACACACACATTCAGACATCCTGGAAAACGGTATCTCTTATTCAATGCCCTCCCAATCTCGTCCAGTCGTTAAATATAAAGCACCTGARCATATTAGGGATCACAACTGAGTTAATACATATGAATGACATTAAGATGTTTATATGTTAATATTGAATCTGTCTTTCGGTGTGGAGGTTATATACCTAATCGAAACATGGCGACAGCGATTGACTTTATCTCGTGTTCTGACGTGGAAACACAAAAGCGTTTTCACATGTATGAGAGGCTATATAAGAAGTTGACAGATAATATGATATGACGATGACTTCTCTTYTTAAAATAATCGTATTGTAACCAGAATTCGTTGATATTCAATTTGCATTCGTTCCTCAAATGTGAATTTTTTCATATATAAAAAAGTATTCAAATGTCAAAAAAACAATTCGCAAAGGAAGACATCATGGTAATTTGAATTCAWTTTCTGTTTGCGTTTACAAAATCTCATAAAAACAATAACAACACCAATGACAACGAAGAAAGAAAGAAAGGAAAGAAAGAAATAAAAAAGAAATAAACGAAGAATAACTTGGCGCAAAAACACCAACTGAGTCCAAATTACCGATCAACTTGTCCATCAAATATATAATTAAAACGAAACCCTAAATAGGCAAGATTGTTTTGAGCTTCTAGATGAACAAGAATAAAAATAAAGTGGTTTTTTATTGTTGTTTTGTTTTAAACATTTGTATTGCTGTGTCGAATATGTCGTTAGGATAATTACTAAAGTCTTTGGAGTCAAAATTCCTGATCGCCGAACAAAATATTCATCATTTATTCAGAAGCTAGACAATTATTTACCAACTTGATATACAAAAAATGTACGACTTATATAGAATTTTGCAGGTATATTCCTTTTGAATAAAAGCAATAAAAAAAACAAGGTCATTTGGTAACCAATTAAATTTTAATTCTATCTTTCTTAGTCGGAAAATTGAAACATTTTGCTTCTATAAATGGTGTTTATAGTTTTGTTCTGTGTTTTCCACACGCTAAGAGGATTGTTTTTTTAAAAACACAYAGTTTATTTGCTTGTGACAGCATTGAAAAATACATGTGATTTCTGGACACTCATTGTTGGACCGCACAAGGTTGGAAGTCCGCCAGCRCCCCTGTTCACACCAGCCTCAAAAAACCCAACCCATGTTTACTATCTTGTATCCTCATATTGAGCTTCATTCCTCTCCAGACATGCCATTTAAGAATCTTAATCGGTAATGCGGGTTTTTTTGAAGCATTCCATTGGTAAAGTCCAAATCAATCGTCTTCTTAATCAAATAAACAACTTATTTTTAATCGTTATAACGCGGATTCTGATTGGTCGAGGCCAGGTGACGTCATTTTTCGAATGCTTTGCCACACGGGCGCATGTTGTTGTTGTAGAAAAGGTTGAGAAGTAAGCTTGACCTTGCTTCACGCCAAAAATCATTTCTCCTCATTTTTCCCTTTTTTCCTCTCCAGAAAATGCTCAGTGCTAGCACTATAGACTAATCTAGCTCCTGGTTTTTGCTTTTTGTAGGTCTCACTTCAGGTAAGTCGTAAAAATAGCCATCAATGTTGACCTATCTTTACATCTTTCGAGGAAGCTGCGAAATTTCTAAGATATGCTCGTCTTGAAATTTTGAACGCAAACGAATTTAGAATTTTTATCAGCAATTTAGCTCTTCACAAACGCCTAATTCCCTTGAGTCGGGTTTCTAAATGAATACATGATTGCCTGGAGTTCTTAGCTTTACTCCAACGAGTCGAATTTAGGAATTATTGAGCTCGAAGTTTATAGTTTCTTTACAAGAACCAGTCATTCAAACCGGATATTTTTAGTTCGAATCTCTCAAAAAGATTAAAATAAATTTACTACTGAACATCTTAATCTTAAAAAGCTATAATTAAGCTACGTTAACTATATCTTTCAGGGGCATTTCCGTCTCGCCTTCAAAATCGCAAAGGAAATTCAAACTTGTCTTGAAAATCAAATTAAAAATTTTCCCCACAGAACACTAATCAAACCTAATAAAAATATCCCTTTTATTTTTATCTGTTTCTAAGTTTATTTATATCAGTATAAAGTGATATCTTAATTCCCTAAAAAATCTTCACTCTCTTACTCCTAATTTCGCGATAAAATTCATAAAATCGTGAGAAAATTTTGACAAATTTTACCTTTTTCATGAGTCAGGTCAAATTTTTTCCTGTTGATCATCCGCAAAATGAATCGCGTTTTTTTACTAGAATTAATAGTAGCTTTATTCCAAGGTATAGTCTAGCCGTATTGTTTTACGAAGTATAAAAACGATTATAGTTAACAATCGGGATTATATGTTCTGTATAAAGTGTACTATTCAGATGAATTGTTGAATTTTTTTGCTAATTTTTATGAGGTAAGATCGATATTACTAATTACAGGTGAAACAATCTTTCTTCTTCTTTCTAAATATCTAAAAAATTAAATGGTCAAATAATAAAAATGATTTTTCATATTTTTTTCACGATCCTTTAAAAGTCTTAAATGCTCTTGTCAATTTCRTGTTAAGCATGTCTTTCATTCACTATATAAGCATGACCTTTTTCTCATCATTCTGTAATGTGAAAAAATCCAAAATATTGCCCATTAGTGACTCGTAAAGAGTATCCTGAGCAAAGACATTAATAATACAAGTTAATATTTAATAACCTTTTAAATTCTAAATCTTGTCCCAGCATTTCGACCCCAAAAATTTAAATCAATTTGAACTTTTATGAGATCTTTTTTTCTTCTTCTTTTTGTTCGTTTCATTTTTAAAATGAAATTAATCCATTACGTCRTTGCGTCATGTCTGCATTTGATCCAATAGAATTTGACGTAGCAAATTCTGTCTAACATTGTCGGAAGTACGATTCATAACTTGTAGCTCAAAATAACAAAGGTGTAATAAGACTACTCTATTCTAGAACATTAAACATGGCTTTTAAGTAGATGAACGATATTTTTGTAAAATTATGAATAAGGAATTTTTATTACAAAAGGAATAAACATGTTATTTATATGAAAGCATTTTCGTGTTTTGAAAAAATGAAAAAGCTTTTAGCGTTTAAAATGAGAGACAAATAATGATTATTTTGCAATGTTACTTTTATCTCCACAAGGTATCCATAGAAATATAAATCACAGCTGTTATTCATGGCATATTTACATTGCTAYATATAAATGGATCGTGGAAATTACTTTTCATGAAATCATTTGAATTCAGAGATCAACATCTTTTGAAAAAATAAAAATTTTGAGCAAAAAAAGTTAACAATATTTATCTTCAAAATTAACTTTTCATTATAAATACCGATTTCTTTTCTACTTTCCTGTTTTGTTTTAGCTGTAGAAGCTAAATGAAAATAATGATATGATATTTCTAAATGACATTTGTAAGTCTTAAATATTTTGATATTTCTAGGGAGAAATTRATAAAAATTGCAAGTTTAGACATTTTTCCATTTAGGTGTTTATTACTTAGGCTAATATAACTAGTTTGAATGTTCAAAATGTCAGTATAGCTATGACAGTTTTTATGCTATGAAAATTTTTTTCTGTATTCAATACTCACGCCAACACAGTCCCAACTAGTAACCACTAGTCTTAAATATAAAGTCAAAAATATTATATTGTGCTTAATCCGTAATCCAACACTTGACACATGTAACACGTATTAATTAATGTAATGCATTAATATATCAGATTTCCCCTCCAAAATCATTGCATCTATTAATAACATTCAAATCTTAATTCTAGGATAATCATTATGTTTCGACTTTGCGTCGTGGGAAGTGGAGGAGTTGGGAAAAGTTCGGTCACGATACGCTACTTGAAGAACGAGTTCACTGAGGTATGTTTTTGTTATAGTGGGACAATAATCAACATTACCCACAAGTATTCGCGGAATGTTAAAATATCTGACCACTGGTATAAGCCTTTTCATAGTTTAAGAATCAATTCCACTGCGCATGCGATTTTATCCCGAATTTCTCACCTTCTTTTGTTTAATTAAGAACAAAAGAAGGTTTAGACAAAAGAAGGTGAGAAATTCGGGATAAAATCGCATGCGCAGTGGAATCGATTCTTAAACTGTGAAAAGGCTTATTGGGTATTATAGAAATAAAGTGGAATTCCGTAATTTTAAACTCTAGATATTTTGAACCCTCTTTATCTCAAGCATGAGGCTTTGTGACTCATGCCAGTAGGATGACCCTATGATTTTATGCTCAGGATTTTTTGAATCTTAGTTATTTAAAAAAAAAAATTCCCTGGTTTAAGAGGGTAAATGCTAAGTATACATTACCTCACAGAAACTTCCTCAAAGAGTGAGAGACAGAAAGACTGACAGACATGTACATACATAGGCAGATACAGAGGGAAAGGGAACGAGAGAGAGAATAAGAGAGATGAATTTTGAGAAATAATTTTCCTTTTTAACCTGTGCAACTTAGAATTATAGATATGAGGTATGATTTAACTAGGAGATTCCTTTTTTATCCCTTAATCATTCATACATTCCATAAATATTTTCCAGCACTTGTATTCTGTTATTGCATGTAMGAATGTGATGCAGCATGTCATACTACAGGGCATAAGAATTCCTGTGGCTTCCTGGCCACTCATTCAGTGTTTCCTTGAATACATTCCTTAAATTGTTCTCATAATTTTCTAAATTGTTCTCTCTTTACAGTATTATGACCCAACTTTAGGTAAGCAAAATCACTTCGATTTTAAATTTATTCATAAGTGTCTGCTTTTTAGCATTGTGGTATTCCTATAATTTGTTTATCTATCATTGAAAATTATAAAAGAATTCAAAATTTTTTTGTTAAGTTCTATTYATGGGATTATGTTGGCCCAAGTGAAAAAGCGTTTATAAAATAACAAAGTTCTAATAAATGTCTGAGAGYTAATCTAAAATACTTGCTATTCTTTTTCTGTGCAGGCTTTTTGAATTGGAGCTTTCATAGGAAGAAAAAATTAACAGCGGTTGTTGTTGCAATGGGGAACTTTTATAAAAAAATAATTTGTGTGTTTTTATATAAAAAATAAATGTTTTTCTGCTTTAGTTACTCTGGTCAAAATTCTAGGAATGCTGAGAGAAAAAGTGTTATTAATTTTTCATTATTTTTCTTTATTCTACAGAGGAAACTTACAGAGCAAAGGTAATATTGTGCTAGATAAACATTTGATAGCATTGATTACAAGGAAAAAAATATCAATATCTGTCTTAAAACCATAGTTTTTCCACGAATTGAAAACAGCAAGACAAGAAAGCATTGTTGCAACATATTAGGATGCACGTGGCTTGACTGCATTTCAATGCAATGATGCAAAATTGTAACTTCATTCATTGAAAATAATAAGAATAATAAAAATAATATAATAAYATAAAGASGCTTGTAAAGCGCAAAATGCTATTATTAATATGGAGGGGGAGGGGGGAGTTGAAACTTTTGCTAGGGAGAGAGGAAGGGGTAGTTTTGTTACCTCCTCACCCAGTGATGCTGAAACAATTTTTTTTCAATTCCCATTGGTTTTATCATTAGATTGACTATGCTGGCAAATTATACAACATTGAGATAGTCGACACAGCTGGTCAAGAAGAGTTCAGCTCATTCCGTGATTCATCGCTCGCAACAGGAGACGCTTTCTTAGTCTTGTTCGCAATTAACTCTGCATCAAGTTGGCATGAACTGAAAGAACTGCGTACGAAAATTATCGACGAACATGAGTCCAAGAATAACTGTACTATTCCCATGGTTATCGTGGCCAACAAAGTGGTATGTATAGTCATATAGTCATACTCATAAAGACATTTTTCCATGTTTGACATGATTACAAATCTGTCTTAATTTAAGCACTCAAGAAGCTTCTGAAAAAATAACTCTTTGCAAAGGGAGAGAGAGTATATTAAGATAATTATAAATTTCTATATTGAACTGGATGATGTCTAATTCCTATACCGATTGTGGAGACAACAACAATTTTTTCTGGAAAATTTATTCGTAGTAACCTAATTTTTKTTGTTGTTTGTTTATCCAGGATTTAGAAGATGAAAGAGAAACGCAAAAAGATGAAGTGATGGAATATTGTAACTCTTTGGGTACACCCTTTATAGAAACATCTGCAAAGGTACACTGTCAGTTATTAATCTATCCACCCACCCACCTATCTATACATCCATCTATCTATTCATCCACCCTTCCATCCATCCATCCATTCATCATTCTATCCGTCTATCCATCAATCATTCTATACATCCATCCATCCATCCATCCATCCATCCATCTATCCATCTATCCATCTATCCATCCATCCATCTATCCACCCACCCATCCATCCATCCATCCACTCATCTATCCACTCATCTATCCATCCATCCGTCCATCCATCATTCTATCCATCCATCCATCCATCATTCTATCTATCCATCTATCCCATCCATCCATACATGCATCCATTCATGCATCCGTCCATTCATGCATGCATGCATCCACCCATCCATCCATCCATCAACGTAAGGTGCAACTTAATGTTACACTTTTGTGTTGCTAACAGACTGGCCTAAATATCCAAGAATGTTTCCAATTAATGATGAGGCAAATTCAACGAATCCAACCTTCATTATTAGAAAGGACAGTGCCAATCAATTATGCAGAGAACGACAAGAAGAAAGATTGTTCAATACTTTAAATAATTATTGCACTATACGAAGTGCGTATGCAAAGAAAGACACTGCCCTATAGTTATTATTGCATTGCGTCATCCATGATATGGAAGATTGAACTGTTATTACTGTTGAAGGTCGTTAATGTTGTTTTGCACAAATGAGAAAACGATTCCCTAATGGAGCTGGCAAGAATTTGAATTAAGCATAATTTGATATAACAGGGACTATATATAGACCTATTTACCTCRGGCGTAATGATTCCTCGTTTCACACCATGTCTCATTCCCTTGTATATTATTTCTTTAATTAATTTAATGTAACAGTTGAGCATTAGAAAAAACATGAATGTAGATACAACTCAAACAAAGAAATGATTTTCAAGAGATTGTCAATATTTGGTTTGAAATGGGAAACCATTTACACCTAAGGTAAAAGGGTCTGCAGTTAGCTTGTTATAACAGCATCATTTTTGGRAAAAAACCCAATTCAACCATGAATTAAAAAGTAGTTTTTCAAATCCTCAGCAAGAGTGTTCAATACAGTCTCTAGTTTCTACAACCATAAATAATCATGTGTAAATGAAGGGCAAAAATAGAGAAAATTGTGCAGTTTGTTTATATAAAAATGTAATCATACTAATGTGAACTGGTGCTGGAATGTTTTTACTAGTCAAGACACAAGGAAAGTGTTAACGTTCCAGAGTATGGAAGAAAGTCTGCAAAGCAYTTTGGTAGTGATAGTCAAATAATGCCCTTGTGCAAACTGCCTGTTAGGCATGCCTTAAGAGTCACGTTTATGTGATCTTAATCACCTAAGAGTGGAGCATAAATTATGGCTTTCATCGTAATTGTAATTAATTAATGACGGTCAAAAATTTGATCAATATGGGCCACTTACRTATCTTTTAAAATATGTAAAATTTTCAAAATTCGTTGCGAAAATATGGCCTTGTGTTTTCTATTTTTGTAAGTTAAGCTTGAAATCTGAGTTTATTTAATTGCAGGGGGTGACATAAAATGGAGAAAAATTTAGAAAAACTTTATAGGTTTGGTATTAAATGARCGATAGAGTGCAAACAGTTAATCCGTGAAACACTAATTACTATTTTGTACAAAATAATGCTAATTAAACAATAGAAGACAAAGGATATTGTACAAATTAGTGGAATTTAGTATTACTWAAGTTTCACGGTTTTACTGTTTGCACTCTTTAGGGAATCAAGCTTATACAAAATATTCAGACAGCTATAGTTTTTTTGAAAGATTACGTGATTGTAGAATGTTTGGAGGTCAAAGGTCAAGATAGTTGGTTGGGCTAGTCTGTTGTTTTTGGAAAAGTAATAAAGATTCTTAATAGTTTTGAACTTTTTTGTTTCTTGCATTTCTTTCTTGTCTTCCTTCCCTGACGTTCCTCTTTCCTTCCTTTCATCCCTCTCTTTTCTTCCATTTCCCATGCCTTCCTTCCATTTCCCATGCCTTCCTTCCTTCCTTCACTCCAAAGTTGGGTGGATGAGCTTGGAAAGATACCCAAAATTAAGTAATAGGGATTAAAACGATTTATTTAGTCAAATTCCTGGATAGAKTTCCTAAAGCCCACTTCTAAAGCCCACCAGATGTTTCCATCTGCCTAAAACCTTTCCCTTTAGCTTCCATTCCCCCTTAGATTCCTTGGCTTTATACACAAAAATTATCAGTTGTAATATTACTCACAGAAAACCTTGTCAAGCCAYAAGACCAAAAGCCTCCACACTGCAGTATTTCGGATTGTCGCTGCAAAGAAAAAATTCCATATATATATCGCTATAAGAACAAAACGTTTCAACGCCAAACTTAACAAATTGTGGGTTACCTGTGGTGAATAGAGTTGAGAGAGACTGTTAATRAAACTAGGTCCTAGTCTCTTTTACTGACGCGGTCGTCCCCACGAAACCAAGATGGCGGAGAAAACTGAACGAGGTGATCAAAATATTCCTTAAAATTCCCTTAAATGTTTCAAATTAATTAACATTTCTACCTGTTTCCTAAATCTTCATGTCTTATTTTAAAGRCAGGAGGCATCAAATTGATAAAAATTGCATTTTGAGGGTAAAAAKTTTGGTTTATTTTTCAGTGATGAGGGTTACTGCACAAGAAATGGCGGACGCGAAGATCCCTTTGAATGGTCGCGATTACTGTGCACATCTATTGATTCCACTCTTAAAATGTCGTAAAGAGACCTACTACTTTCCTTGGAAATGCCATCACGAGAAGCACGCTTGGGATAAGTGTCAATATGATGAGTATGTGTTGATCGTAATTCCTGCACACAAAAAATATCGAAAAAAAAGACGTAAATTTGGGAGGGTACTTGGGTTTTTGCGTTAGAAACTAAAGAATGAGAAGACCTTTTAATTCATTCCTCCATTATCAAAGCCACTGGCCATTATTTTGAAGAAGGGTGGCTTTGTCCTAATGAGGGTGTCGCTGATTTCCATGTAGGGAGAAAATTGGGGCGTATAAATTTAAACAAGTGTAAGGAAAAATGTACTTCGTAAAAAGAATGGGTGACTGGAATTCAATTCATATCCTGCAATTTAACTCGGTAGATTCTAGTTGAATGCTGAAGTTTGGTTTTTCTCTGATATTCTTTAACCTGGAAAGACTATACTAAAATATTTACAATTGAAATGTAATGGAAAAAGTTATTCACTGCTGGCTAAAATAATTGATATAGAATACTTACCCATCTACACTACTGTGCTGATGTAACTGATGAAGCAACTGCAACATTTCCATTCCTAAGGGAGCTTTCCATCAAGTCAAACCAACCAGTCCAAGCAGCCAGCTTTTAAAACTGTACGTGTCAGTTCTCATTAGTTTTGAGACCTTGGCTAACCAGTTCTAAAGACTGACGCATACCATTTGATTACTGGCTGCTCTGACTGGTAGGTTAGGCCTGATGAAAAGTACCGTTCAGCATGTTGTACAATACGCTTGTAATGGTCATCTTATGTAACCACCATTGGATATATTTTACTATTACGATTGGTATCAGTTTGCACAAGATTGTCTGATCTGTGTCTCGTAACAGAGCTGAGCAATATGCAAGACTTTTCAGTGGCCAGACATGAAGGCCAGTCACATCATACTGATCATCATGTAACCAGTCAAGAGGACTGGTGCAACAGGCATTTGGCTGGACGAATGCCATTTTTGATCAGACGTAGTCCTATTATCTGGTCATTATTTCGAGCCGTTACGGTGTATAAGTGGTTGAAATCCATATTTCCAGGATTTTTGAACCATCACCTCTGATAATGTTATCAGCCTATAGCCTCCTTGCTTTGATTTCCTAGGAATTGTTCTGGGGGACAAAATGATAGGCTGTCTTTTCTTATTCAAAAAATAAATAATAAAAAAATAAAATAACCAGAACATTTCCTCTCAGGGCTCATTGAGTACTTACGTAAAATTGTTAAAAATAAGTTGTATAAGGCCTAGGGCAAACATCAAACTTTCCATGCACCRAACTTAATTACATCAAAGAATGCTGCCTCATTATCACCTGATATCCATTGTTTTTAATGAGTTCGGTGCATGGAAAGTTCCACGTTTGCCCTATTTTACATTAAAATTGAGATTATTTTTTTCGTTTCAGTTTAATGTACAGGACCCGAGAGAAAGAACGGCGCAAGCTCCAAGAAAAAGGCCATTTGTGATTACTAAACCAATTCCTTAGTTTTTTGTGTGATCAATATGATGGATATTATTAAGTTACAGAATAATGTCATTGTATTTTATATTTCTGTAAATAAACTGGTATTACAACTTGTATTGGTATTATTATTGTATTGATTTATATACTGCTGCCCAGGAAAGAGGAATACAGAGCATAAAGCAGGTTTTGGAGAAAAGCAAGAGGCCAAGTAATGTAAAGATGATTTTTAAGAAATGTTGAATTATTTAGAAGAGTATAAAGAGTCTGAGAAAGCAGTGGAAAAAATCAATGTACATATTGAGTAACAAGATTCTGTCAAATTGCTTTTGTTAAAAATTGTCCTCGAAATGGCCAGTAGCTAACAAATCTGTGGCCCTTATTCAATAATAAGTTGGAATTTAAAGTTGGATCTTGCTAACAAGCAACTCGACTCACATCATGGTGATAGTGACGATTCAACCCATGATCATAGCAGCAAGAGGCAACACATTTATAGCAGTTTTCGTATGACTGTGAAAAGCTTATGGCACAAGTAGAGTAGTAAAGACACGGCAAGGTACTAGCCCCAATACAATGACATTGCAAGATAATTTACTCTTCATCCAATCAAAAACCCAAAACATGCCGCAATCACGGCTCGGACACGGTCATGCCAACGTCACGGCACTGCCAGACCAATAATATTGCATGAGAAAAAATTAGCCAATTAAAATTCTAGAAAACATCACGGTTACTACACGGCACGCACACGGCACTGACCTTTTCACAGTCCTACAAAAACTGCTCTAACAGCACACACCACCACACTTTCCTAGAATCAAAATTCCTTCCAAACTCCCTACCCCCCATTTTAAACTCACAAGCTCCCCTCTAGTGCCCTCCTGTTGCCGTGTTGCATGAGGACACTAAAAATGGCTGAAGGGCAGACTTAGTATGTGCTTTAAACAATTGACTATTCAATGTCGCAGAATACATGTAGCAATAGGAAAGCGGGTAAATATATTTGGATATTAAAATTTAAAAGAGTGAAATGATACTGAAAAATAATTCTACAGCCAGTGGGCCTCGGCGATGCTTCATAGCTGCAGTATTAATGGCTGGGACAAGAGCACTGTCTAAGTCTGCCATTAGATTGGCTGGTAAAGGTTCTTCATTTGCACCAATGCTGTACTCGACCTAAAAAATATTGAATCAAATATAAAACTTGAAATAAATGCATTGATATATTTTCCCAACATTAAATTTTTTTGGATTTCCAAGGGTTGAGTAGGTTAAATTATAGTCCTAGAATATGTCAAAGGAGGGATGTGGAATTTCCAAGAGGTAGGGAAGGTTTGAGGAGTGCATATCGTGTAGTTACCTAGATATTGGCTGGCTGGATATTTAATATTTTTCAAAAAAATTAAGCTTTTGAAAGGGTATAGGTATATTTCATGTACAGCAAAAATATTTCCCATCTCTAAAATTTAACTTACGCTTCTATATTCCTTATTTTTGAGGGTTTTTTAATTTTGGAAAATAAGGAACCGTACATAGGTGGAATGGACTGGACTTTGGTTAATTGGATCGTCGGATCGCAAAAAAAATGTTTGTCGAATTTGTAACTTTTGAAGGGGTATGGATAATCTTCATCTATAGCAAAAGCATGTCCCAACTCTGAAATTTGATTTTTGGTTCTGAATCCATGATTTTTGAGACTTTTTTGATTTTGGAAAATAAGGAACCGTACATGGCTGGAATGGAATGGACGTCGGTTAATTGGATCGTACGGATCGTAAACGTTTTTTTACGCCGAATTTTCAGCTTTCATTCGATAATTTTTATTCTAATATTCGTTACTAGTACTTTTATGCTGAAATTGTGCAAAAAAAAAAAAAAAAAGATTTAAAAAAAAAATATCATATCAGATCCTGGAATGCAAAAAAATCCCCACTCTTTTTACCCACCCATCCCTCCCATAAATTAGGAATGGTCCCTTATTTATCAAGCACTTAACAGATACTGTAGGCATTTCAGGTCTTCCATCTATTTCTCCCATAAATAATGAATGGTCAAGTACTTACAGAGTCTGAATCAATGTTTACTCTCAGTGACAGTTGTTTCAGGTCCAGTTGAAAAAGCCCAACCAGATGTGGTCTCAAGGCCTCGCAACATGCACGTGCCAGCTCTGCCGTAAGGTGGCTCAGTCCTCTAGATGACAACCCTCTGGAGCTTCTTTCACCATTTCGTTCCAGGAAGACATTTGTCCATMTTATTCTATAGATGTCGGGTTTAGTGAAGTCACAACTACTGTGCACTTGGATGCTGGGTAAGTTAGTTAGTGACCGTCCGTCTATTGGGCTAATGTACCTGTCAGATTTAGTAAACTATTAGTTTGTTGGGTTGTTTGTTCTTTAATACCTTTCTGTTTGTCTGTATCTTTCTACTTACTTACTTCCTTCCCTCAATCCACCCATCCATTCTATTATCTATCCATCCCATCTAATGTCACCTAATTATCCTATCCATAAATCCATCTAATAGTATGCAATCCGCCCACTTATCCTATCCATCCACCAGTCCAGGGGCGGATCCAGGATTTTTTCCAGGGAGGGTGCTGCGCACAAAGTTAACCCAGGGAGGGGTGCACCCCTTAGAATCAAAGGGAAAAAACAGTATTGATTATCTTCGAAGTAGGGGCACAAAGTGGAATCAGGGAGGGGTGTGCACCCCCTGCACCCCTCCCCTGGATCCGCCCCTGCAGTCCATCGTATTTCATCCCTGCATTACATCTATCCATCCATCCATCTATGCTATCCACCCAACCATGCATCCTACCCAGACATCCATATGTATAATTTAGCTGGTTTACACAGAACAACAAGATTGTCCTAGAAAGATAAACCAACCAGATAAAACGTTTTACTCACGCTTGTTGATTGGCATCTCTGGTGGCCCATTCTACAGTCACCTGGTTAACAGTACCCTCAGCTGTATTACTGCCTGTCTGGATTACATAATCTTGCATTTCACGCAGTGCTCTCCGTAACTCTAATATAGCATCTGGTAACATCTGAATCATTAAACCATCTGCAAAGGAAGAATTTAATAATTTTAAATGTTAATTCTCAATTTTCAAGGGGTAGGGAGGGTCTGAGGAGAGTATATTGTGTAGTACCAGAAAATATCCATACCTCCCCAATGGAGGGGATTGGAATTTCCAAGGGGTGGGGAGGGTCTGAGGAGGGTATATTGTGCAGTACCAGAAAATATCCATACCTCCCCAATGGAGGGGATTGGAATTTCCAAGGGGTGGGGAGGGTCTGAGGAGGGTATATTGTGCAGTACCAGAAAATATCCATACCTCCCCAATGGAGGGGATTGGAATTTCCAAGGGGTGGGGAGGGTCTTAGGAGGGTATTGTTCTTCCTGTCATCGTAGAAAGTATAAGTCATTTACCTTCAATAATACTGACTTTAGCATCATTAGGATTGCTTGTCTTGAGTGACCCAGTGAATACTATAAAGCTTGCTCCAGTAACTTAAAACACAGAAATGACAAACAGCCCAAGAGTTAGTCTTAATATTATCACAAAGGAAGGAAAGAAGGAAGGAGGGAAGGAGGGAAGGAGGGAAGAATGGATGGACGGATGGACAGATGAATGGACGGATGGATGGATGGATGGGCGACTAGATGGTTGGATGGATGGGAGCAAGGAAGGGAGGAAGGAAGGAAGGAAGGATGGAAGGAAGGAAGGAAGGACTAAGATACCTTTTCTAGTCTTATTCTGTATATTTATTGCTTGCGTCTTGTAGGTTTCTCCCTCTTGGATGCACACCAAGTGCGAATCTGCCTCGCTGCTGAAGTTGGCACCAAATGCAAACATGTGTTCTTCTGCTGCATTTAGGACTTTAACAATCTGGAAAGGAAAAGATTATGCCATTCATCATAGAACTAGGCTATAAAGTCCACTCTCCACTCACTGCTGAAAGCACTCAGGCCACATAGCAGAACAAGTTAAAAACTCTGAACTACAGTATTTGTTTTTTGCTTGCATCAAGAACAGAATAGAGCTCATGGGATAAAGCAGTCCTCGGCAAGGTGGTGTACTGGAGTAAAGAAACCATGAAAAGTTTATTGAAATTGACTATATAGTCGTGATGTACCTCATCATATCTATYCTGCGGCAGGCGCACTTTAGTTTTCGTATCTTCCATGTGAATGATCAAACCAGTGATCCTTGGGATGCTGTATTGAAAGTTCTTAAAGTCCTGCAATTATATATATATAAATAAGAATACTATTAAACACACCCTGTGCTCAATTGTTTACTACRAAGTGATTGAGAAAAAAGTCACAACAGGTGACTCTACTCATCAATAGACTTCTGTCAAAAATCTGTAGAGCAGGTTCACATGTACCTCTACATACTCCAATGTTTATTCTATTTGGATTTGACTAAAACTTTGGCCTCAAGGGCTATTGACTAGTAGCCTATTCAGGCTCGAGGACTAATTGCTAATACTCCATTGTTTATCACCTATCACCTATCATCTGTCTCCTTCAGCTCCGATATAAAATTTTTGAAATAGATGCACAGTCAATCATTTATAAACCTATGCCTACCGTGAGTAGGTTCATTATCGTGTGTCCAATGTCGCCATACACGGACGGCCTGTTACGCACACTCCATAAAGGACAAGGATAATCTGATGGCATAAATAATGATTCATGTTTAGAAAAGTTGAAGAACCCAGGGTACATATCATTTAATAGACAGGTCTCACATCTGAATTCTGTTCCCAGTCGTAACATGAGCCGTAGAGGAAAGAGCTGAGCCCATGGTGCTTCTTGCCGCTGGATAAGAATACCGACCACGTAGGGGACTGACGGCAGAGGGAGATTCTCAAGACACTACAAGGTATACAAAAATAAATGATTTCTGAGTGGAGTTATTCACTGACACTGACACTGACACTGACACTGACACTGACACTGACACTGACACTGACACTGACAGAGACTAGAGTGGTTTTTAAATGAGTGGCAAACAATATTTGATGGCAAATCCGTAGCCACACTGTATCTAACTGTAACCATAACTACCTGTTGTGATTGAGTGAATTATTGGAAGACAATACTCCATTTTACAGTTCCATTCAGTGACCATGAAAAATAGTTCCTAGCCGAGGCTGGAGTTACCGCGCATGATAAACTGTAGTTTTGCTATGCATGGAAACTCCAGCCTCAGCTAGAAACTATTATTTGTGGTCACTGAATGGAACTCTAAAATGGAGTATTGGAAGTCGTTTCATTACTATGGTCAGTACTTTATAATTTCCCCTCATTATGAAAACAGCTGTAACCATGGCAATGAGTTTCATTCTAGTACTGGTTAAATTATAGTCCATTGAACTTGGTGTAGTGGAGGAGAGAGGTTGGTACACATGAAAGCTATACATTAAAGTGAGTTACAGCAAGTCTCTCTACCATCTTCATTGCCCTTGCATTACACAGGCTACCACCTAATGCTAAACTAAAAGACTGTGTTTAGCAAAATCTAATGACCTTTACAGTTACCTGAAATGTGGGCTTGATGTACAGAAATCCAGCATTGTCAGAGCTACCGAGGAAGGGTTGACCAAATATAGTAAAACCAAGATCAGATACCACATGGCCTAAAGATCAAGTTAATAAATAATAATAGTTTAATAAACAAGAAGAGACTTGCATTTGCCTTAAGAATCAAGGGCAACGTAATGGTACTGCATTCATGCCTTTTACCTCAGGTCTCAGGTTTGATTCCTGCACTCAGCATCATGTGAGTAGAGTTTGTTAGATCTCTCTTTTCATTCAAGGGTTTTGCTATGGATTCACCCTTGTAAAACCTCATGAGCTAAATTTCTAATTTGACTTGTGAGTTAGCCATG